TAATTGATAATTTATTGATAATATTTTTTTAAAAGTCAAAAATGCACTGGTGTTATACTAAGCAACTATTGGATACTAACTGCTGCACATTGTATTAAGTACTGTATATTTGATAATTAATAATTATTTAATTAATTAAATCATGTTTTTTTAAAAAAATAAATGTAACAAATGAATAGAATTATTAATAACTTTAAAAAAAATATTTATTTATTTGTTTTCAAAATTTTTATGTCATCTAAAAAAATCAAATTTAATCAAAAAGATTTGATTACGTGATTACTGTCAGTACAGTTCAGGATCAGAGACATACTGATGGGCAGACATATGGCGTACAGAAACGTATTGTTCACTATAACTACTATAATGCCGATAATGATAAGCCAGACTCCAGATATGATATCGGATTATTAAAATTGGATAAACAGATACCGTTACCAAACACAACAACAACAACAACAATGAATGGTCATAAATATGATCGGTTGAATAGTATTTGTTTGCCGGACAAAAACATTGTCAATACCGACGACGAGTGGGCACTGTTTGCTGGTTTTGGTTTTATGGATGAAAGTCTCGAAAATCTAGGACCAGTTAAGATGGGTTGGCTAAAGATTCAATGGTCAAGGGATATAGGTTTTCAAAAATATGGCGATCATATAATAGCCTATAGAGATCCTATTGGTTCAGGTGCCGGCTTGTGTAGGGTAAGCCACTATCAAACTAACTTAGAAAAACCTATTTATTGATATATATAAATAATATATATTAATATATATATATATACTGGTACAGTATTGTAAATTTAAATATATTACAAGTTATATAATATATATACAATTAAAATAATAAGTTAATAATAATGTATATAATAGGGAATTTTACTGTGAATTTACTGTGAATTTACTGTGAATTTTACTGTGAATTTACTGTGAATTTTACTGTGAATTTACTGTGAATTTACTGTGAATTTTACTGTGAATTTTACTGTGAATTTACTGTGAATTTACTGTGAATTTTACTGTGAATTTACTGTGAATTTTACTGTGAATTTACTGTGAATTTACTGTGAATTTTACTGTGAATTTACTGTGAATTTTACTGTGAATTTACTGGGAATGCTGGGTAAAAATGCAATAAAAATTTTTCACCCCCTATACCCCAAGATTTTTCGCCAATTTTACCCTACCCTGGGTATCCCCCCTATGAGATCAAAAGTCCGTGGCTTAATGGTGTAATGAACTAAGACGTCGGCTGTTTGCACTTGTTGCCTGAGAAACAACATAGAGGTACGACGTCCGGGGATCGATTCCCTGGTGAGCCACTGTTGTTTATTGCCATTTCAAATATTAAGTAACAGCTAGTTTGGGTACAAAGAATCGTCCCCTTACCAAGCTGACTTACTGTTTGTAGGTACTCCTCTAACTATGCTTATGAGTGCTATACGCATGCTATGGGTAATAATACAAAAAAAGGGGACAGGGTCTCCAAAAAGTGTACCATACATACTATGTGACGTGCACTATAAATCCTGATCCTTTTTTATGAGATCAAAAACTTTTAGCAACCCTGGTATAGATATATATATATATATATATATATATATATATATATATATATATATATATATATATATATATATATATATATATCTATATATTATATAAATTGAATATATATATATATATATCTTAAATGTTTTTTGTTGGTTTCAATTTTTTTTCTTCAAACAATAGGGTGATTCTGGCGGACCATTGATCCAGTTTGACGGTAATCGTGCGGTACTTATTGGCATAAATCATGGTATTGGCAGTACTACTGATTGTCTTGGATATGACACCTCTAGTTATATGGCATTCATAAGAGTTTCACGATTTATTGATTGGATTATCGAAACTATTAAATTTAATTAATTGCTATTTGTTTTTTGTTGTTTATTAGATTAGACTTTATTAGGCGTGGTTAACATATTACGTTCACACTTTTTAAAAAATCTAGACTCCCTCCCTCCCCTATGTTCGCATTTGTTTGCATGTAGCCCCCCACCACAAGAAATAAAATATTATCTAAATGCAAACGTTCTTAAAGACTATACCTCTCCCCTCCCCCTCGTTCGCAAAAGTTCGCTTTGACTAACCCTCCCCCTCCCCTCAAGTGCGAACGTAATATGTGAACCACGCCTTATAGTTAGTATTAACTATTAACTAATTATGTTAGTTCATTAAAATGTTAATAATATTTCTAATAATATTATTATATTAAATTACAATAATTATTTTATTACACAATAATGTTTAGTATAATTTTTATTATTATTGAATTTTATAGTTATTTAATCTTTTTTTTTAAAAAAATATTTGTTACATATTTTTTATGAAATAATTGCTATTTAATACTATTAAATAATTATAACTTTTTTAAATAATTTTTTTTAATATAAACTATTAAATTATGTAATATCCTTGAAAATAATACTTAGCAATACTTTAGTTTAAATTTTTTTTTATAAAAAAGTTTTTAGTCTATAATAAGTTTTTTCAATTTTTATTATACAATTATATTGAAATTTGACTACAATAAAAATTACAAATAAAATAATATTCAATAAATTACTAACTTTTAAAGCATTTAAATTTAATATTATAAAATATTCAAATTAAATATAAATATAAATAAATGATAATAGTATGTCTAAAACATGTAAAAAAATTAATTTTGTTAATAGTTTAATAATAATAATAGTATCAATAGTAGTAGTAGTGGTAAATGGTTTGCACTCACGTATCAAACAATACCCGAACGTAACGCTCGACACGTGTGGTATCGGCAGACAGTCATCACTGTTGATAACTGACGGCCACTGTCTCCGGTGGTCATCAAATGTGATCAATAGTAATAGTAGTCTACAAAATGGACGGATAGCCAAACCGGGAGAGTGGCCGTGGATTGCATTTATTTTGGGAGAAAAAACCTATTATACATATTTGATAATTAAGAGATATGAGAGGTAAATGTTATTAAATATGATATAACATTTATATATAATATAACAATAAGTATATCGAAAAATAATTTATGTATAATTACTCTAATTATTGATTATTAGAAAAAATTAATACATTTTTTTGGATAAATTTTAATAATTAAAAAATACAATATAATTTTAAGTTAATTTTTTTAGCATAATCAATAATTCAAGTATTTAATTAACTATTATACCCTAATATATATTTAGAAATAATATGTTTTATTTATAGCAAATATACTATAATTATATTAATATTTATATATAAAAATAACTATAATTATATAAATATATTAATTTAAATATTAAAATTATATATTATAGTTATAGTTGTACTGGTGTTGTACTAAACAACTATTGGATACTAACTGTTGGACATTGTATTAGGTATTTGTAATTATTATTATTTTGAACATATCATAAAATCTATAATTTTATTTTAATTCAACAATAAGTTTAATGTTATTTATTTAATAATAATAATAATTTGTTATTTTCAACAATTTTTTACCAACAAAAATATAAAATACTAAAAAAAAGAAATGATTTTAAGCTAACTGTTAGCACAGTTCAGGACTGGAAACATAGAGAGGGCCAGACATATGGTGTAGACAAACGTATTGTTCACTACAAATACTATACGTTTGATAAAAAAGATAACAGATATGATATCGCATTATTGAAATTGGATTCACAGATACCGATACCAAACACCTACACAACAACAACAACAACAACAGGTAGTAGTGGTCAGTATCCTCAGGTAAACGGAATTTGTTTGCCCGACAGAGATATTGTTAATACTGATGAAGAGTTGGCACTGTTTGCCGGTTTCGGTCGCATTGATAATGGAGTCGACAATTATGGACCACTGATGATGGGTTGGCTTAAGTTAGATAAACTATTGAACAATATTAACGATAAATGGGGCGATTGGTTCAGAGTTCATAGATATCCTGATAATACAGGTGCAGCTATGTGTAGGGCAAGTAAAACAGTAATTATTATTATAAAAAAAAACAAAACAAAATTTACTGATTGTATAGTATTTATATAGTTTTATAGTATATTTGTCAATATATTTTTTTATTGAAAGTTATTTTTTGAATACAAAAAAATTAGTTTTTTTTAAATTTTCAAATCTCAAGGGTGATTCTGGTGGACCATTGGTACAGTATGTCGGCGATAGGGCCGTATTGATTGGCCTAAATCGGGGAACGTCTAGCAATACTGATTGTTTGGGCTATAAATCGGATAGAGTGATGAAATTTATGAGAGTTTCACGATTTGTCGATTGGATTAATCAAACAATTATTGAAAATTAGTTTTTTAATGTTATATTTATATATATATATATATATAATTATATCTTAATTATTATTATTAACTATTAATTATTTGTTATTTTTAAAATAGATATTAAAAACATTTTTTAAGAATATAATCTAATTGAACAAACTATACAATAATATTAATAAATATTTATAATTATTATCTAATATAAGAAAACAATTAAAAAATAATAATAATTACAATAATTATTTTAGTTTTTTTAAGTTATACGAGTTTATATGTGTTATTTAAAGATCAAAATATTATCAATTTTATGTTACATATTTGATAGTAATATAATAATAATAATAATAAAATTATTAAAATTCTCAAATTTCATAGAAAATTGTATAAAGTTTTTTTTATTAAATAAAATAATAACAATAATAATATGATTTCTATTTATTATATTATGTTTATACCAGTTTGAAAAATAGAAATAATTTTTTTTTAAATAAAATAAAATAATTATTTTATTAATATGAATAAAATATATACAACAAAATATATAACTATTATTAGTTTAATATCATTGATAACTATAGTATCAGTAGTATTAGTGGTGAATGGTTTGCACTCACGTATCAAACAATACCCGAACGTAACGCTCGACACGTGTGGTATCGGCAGACAATCACTGTTGATGACTACCGGTCAGTGTCTCAGATGGTCATCCAATATGATTACTAGTAATGTACAAAATGGACGGATAGCCAAACCGGGAGAGTGGCCGTGGATTGTATTGATTTCGGGACAAAAATATTATTGGGGTTTTATACCAACAGATAAGTAATTTTTAATATTTATTTATTTAAATTATTAAAACTTTATTATAAATACACAAAAAAGAAAACACACTAAACATTTAATTTCTAAATATATAAATTTTACATATACTTTAATTTTTGTTTACCATAGTTTTTATTTTTATTAAATTGACATTAAATTATAAAAATTGGTAATAATAATCATAAATTATTTACTTGATTTTAGTACTATTTTTTAAAAATAATTTTATATATATATATAGTTATGAATGCACTGGTGTTATACTAAACAGCAATTGGATCCTAACTGTTGCACATTGTATTAAGTAATTAGTAATTGCTGTAAATTTATAAATTATTTAACACCAATAATAATAATAATAATAATAATATATTTAACAATATGATTGATTGATTAGTAATATTAAATTTTGATTATTTAAATAAATGTTTATTTATTTTTTTTGGTATAACAAAACAGTTTTAAATTCACAATAACTGTACGGACAGTTCAAAATCGTAGACATACATCAGCCGATCATACATACAGTGTACAGAAGCGTATCGTTCACTACAAATACAAAACAATTCATGGATTAGACAAACGATATGACATTGCATTATTGAAATTAGGTTCACAGATACCGATACCAAGTAGTAGTAGTAGTAGTAGTGGTCAGTATCCGCTAATAAACGGCATTTGTTTACCAGATAAAGACATTTTAAATACCGATGAAGAGTTGGCATTGGTTGCCGGTTTCGGTTGGATTGATGACCGAATCGGCAATTATGGACCACTGATGATGGGCTGGATTATGGTTGACAAACGTGATGCTAATAATGATGACGACAATCAATGGGATAATTGGTTTACAGCGCACAGATATCCCAACACTAATGGTTCGGCTATATGTAAGGCAAGTGTGTGTTTTTAGATAAATATTTTTACTGTACTTTTTTAAAATTTTTTAATTACTATTATTTTTTAAATAAAAAAAATTAATAATAGGGTGATTCGGGTGGACCAGTGGTCCAGTATGTCGGCAATAGGGCCGTACTAATTGGTTTAAATAGGGCCAGTACTCTGAATATTGAGTGTATGTCCTATAAATCAGTAGCTATAATGCATTTAATGAGAGTATCCAAATTTGTCGATTGGATTGTCGATACTATTAGATATAGTTAATAATAATAATACAAAAAATAAAATGATAAATACAATAATAAATCATAATTATTAAATTAAGTACAATATTATTATTATTATTATTGTGATTTTTATTTAAATTATTAGTTAGGGTTTTTAATGTTTTATTTTAATAATTAAATTTATAGTTTATTTAAAATATATTTTTGAAAGTATCAAATGTATGCAACTTTGTTGTACATTATATAATACAGTATTTGGTAACTGATATTTACAATAGTGTTGGCAAAAACAAAATATTTTTTTTTTGAATAATACAAAGCGTATAATAATTATAATTGTTATAAAAATAATAGTAATATTTTTATCAAAAAAAATATTCTTAAATTTCAGACAATATATTGTATTGTAGAAAATTTTATTACTAATATTAAAATATGTTTAACATTATTAGATTATTACTGTATTAGTAAAGTAAAAAACTTTTAAAAATGCTTATTAAATGTTCAACAATACAAATATGATTCAAAAAATGATAACTTTAGTATCAGTAGTAGTAGTAGTAAATGGTTTGCACTCACGTATCAAACAATACCCGAAAGTAACGCTCGACACGTGTGGTATCGGCAGACAATCACTGTTGATGACTACCGGTCAGTGTCTACACTATAATATGACTGCAAATATTCAAAACGGACGATTAGCCGAACCGGGAGAGTGGCCATGGATTGCATATGTTTTTGTTCAAAAATATTTTTTGTTTATTATACCAACTGATAGGTAATTTTAATATATTTTATATATTATTTAATATGTTATAACTTGCCATATAATATCAATTGCAAATCAATAATCATCATTTTTTTAATATAACAAATTGTTTTTTAGTGTAAATTTTACTATTTTATAAATTAAATTACAATTAAAGTTTTTAGTAGATTTCAGAATAACATTTTGTCTTATTTTTGTTTTTAAAAAATAGTATTGAAATTATTATAAAATATATAATTTTTTTTAAAATATAAATTTTAGTAATTATTGTACTGGTGTTGTACTAAACAGCTATTGGATACTAACTGCTGGACACTGTATTAAGTAATTATAGTATTATATTATTAATAGATACTAGTATAATATTATTTATCATAATATCATAATAATAATATTATTATTATTAAAATAATTTTAAGGTATTACATTATGTCACATATATATCGCATATAATATATGTACAAAATAATTGCAATGAATTTATGATAATTTGTTTATTAATTAAAAAATAAAAGACCCGGTTATAAGATAACTGTGCGCGCAGTTAGCGATCGGAGACTTACATATAAAGTGGACATTAGTATTGTTCACAATAAGTACAATACAGATGATGGCAATAAAGACAGCAAATATGACATTGGATTATTGAAATTGATTTCACCGCTACCGATACCAACCATCACAACAACAACAACAACAAGTGGTGGTCAACCGTATCGGCCGCTTAAAGTAAACGGCATTTGTTTGCCCGACAAAGATATTGTTAACACTGAGGATGAGTTGGCATTGAATGCCGGTTACGGTTATATTGATGAAGGTGTTGTCAATTATGGACCACTGAGAATGAATTGGATAATAATTAAGAAAACAATTAATAATTTTTATGATGGTTGGGGTAATTGGATCATATCTTATAGATATCCACCTAATACAGGCTCTGCTATTTGTAAGGCAAGTTTAACACTGTTTAATATGCATAGATTTATAATAACAGGGTTAAGCAAGTTTTTTTTGAGGTTGGGGTGGACGGGTCCAGTGTTAAGGTAAAATTGCAAAAAAAATTATGTTAAAAGGTCATAAACTCCCCCAACAGTCTAATATGATATGATAACACTCACCCATTGCAACCCTTATATATAAAACTGTTTAAATACAATCAAAACCAAAACAATAGTAGACGCATTACAAACACATAGATTACACATAATATATACATACAAAAAATATATATGTTTTATATAAACTCCTACCCTAAGCATTATACTTATAATATTATATATTCACATATATATATAGACTACTAATATTATAGGGTATCCTTGTGTATACTGAGACAGTTTTACATATATATGATATTTTTATTTTATAATTATTTGTTATGATTATAGGGTGATTCTGGTGGACCACTGGTCCAGTATGTCGGGGATCGGGCGGTATTAATTGGTCTAACATCGGCCAGTTCGGTTAAAGTTCATTGTCTATCAGACAAACCAAAATCTAAAATGATTTTTATAAGAGTTTCCCGATTTATCGATTGGATTGTCGATACTATTGAAAATAATTAGATATTATTTTCTATACTCTATAATAGTTAGTATTAAATAAAAAAATATTATGTAGTTTTATTATAATTTGTTATATAATTATTATAAATATATTTTATTATATAACTAATATTATATTAAATTAAATACTTATACTTTCACTAATAAAATACTAACACAACATACATATATATAACAATATATTTTATATGATATCTATATATTATAAAACATAAAAATAACTGAAAAATATTTAGTTTTTATTACATATTTTATAATAATTTTTTTTTAAAAATAATTAAGTAAAAATTGTTATTTAGGATTAAAATATTTTTATTATTATTAGTAGAATATAAACTAAAATAAATGTTTACAATAAAAATATAACAAAAAATATATAACTATTATGTTTATTAGTTTTATATTAAAGATAACAATAGTATCAGTAGTAGTAGTAGTAGTGAATGGTTTGCACTCACGTATCAAACAATACCCGAACGTAACGCTCGACACGTGTGGTATCGGCAGACACTCGCTGTTGATGACCGGTCAGTGTCTACACTATAATATGACTGCAAATATCCAAAACGGACGGTTAGCCGAACCGGGAGAGTGGCCGTGGATTGCATATGTTTTAGTTCAAAAATATATTATGCAATTTTTAATAATTGATAGGTAAATACTGTATATATATATATTGTTATATTGTATATATTATTATATATATTATAACTTGCCTTATAAAATCAATTGCAAATCAATAATAATATTTTTTTTAATATTACAAATTCTGGTGGACCAGTGGTCCAGTATTTTGGGGATCGGGCCGTACTAATTGGTATAACCTCGGCCAGTTCGGTTAATGTTAGTTGTCTGGCATACAAATCAAATGATGTAATGGTTTTTATAAGAGTTTCCCGATTTATCGATTGGATTGTCGATACTATTGAAAATAATTAGATATTATTTTCTATACTCTATAATAGTTACTATTAAATAAAAAATAGTAGTTTTGTTATTTTATTCAATTAGATACAGTAGAGTAATATTAAATAAATAGTAAAATAAATTGCAATAAAGTTTAAATTTTTGTATACATATAAATTATAATTTGTTAAATAATTATTATATTACTAATATTATATTAAATTAAATCCTTATACTTCATAAATTATAAGTATAAAAATCTAACTTATATTTGAAAAATATATTATATATCTGTGTATTATACAGTATATCATTTAAATAATTGAAAATTATTTAGTTTATATTACATATTTGTTAATAATATAAATATATATTTTTTAGTAATATTCTCAAATTGCAATCAGTATAAAGTAATAATTGTTATTTAGGATTAAATTATTTTTATTATTATTAGTAGTATAAAAACTTAAAAATAAATGTTTACAATAAAAAATTCATTCACAAAAAATATATAACAATTATGTTTATCAGTTTAATACTAATAGTATCGGTAGTAGTAGTGAATGGTTTGCACTCACATATCAAACAATACCCGAACATAACGCTCGACACGTGTGGTATCGGCAGACAGTCATTGTTGTTGACTACCGGTCAGTGTTTAAAGTGGTCATCCAATGAGACAACTAGTAGTGTACAAAACGGACGGTTAGCCGAACCGGGAGAGTGGCCGTGGATTGCATATCTTTCAATTCAGAAATATATTATGCAATTTATACCAATTGAAAGGTAACTACTATTTATATATTGCATATAATATTATATATGTTGAAATTTGTTCTATAATATCAATTGCAAATCAATAATAATATTTTTTTTATAATATTACAAATTTTTATTATATTAATAATTAAATTACAATTAAAGTTTTTAGTAGATTTCAGAATAACATTTAACAAAATAGTATTAAAATTATTATAAAATATATAATTGTTTTTTTTTATAAATTTTAGTATTTCTTGTACTGGTGTTGTACTAAATAGATATTGGATACTAACTGCTGGACACTGTATTAAGTAATTATAGTATTATATTATTGATAGATACTAGTATAATATTATTTATCATAATATCATATTATTATTATTATTAACATTATGTATTATGTAATATGTGTACAAAATAATTGCAATGTATTTATGATAATTTGTTAATTAATTAAAAAAAATAAATAAAAGACCCGGTTATAATATAACTGTGCGCGCAGTTAGCGACCGGAGACATACATATGACCGTCCATACAAATTGGACAAAAGTATTGTTCACAATAAGTACATTATTGATGGCAAAAAAGACGGAAAATATGACATTGGATTATTGAAATTGATTTCACCGCTACCGATACCTAACATCACAACAACAACAACATCAAGTGGTGGTCAACCGTATCGGCCGCATGATGTAAACAGCATTTGTTTGCCCGACAAAGATATTGTTAACACTGAGGATGAGTTGGCATTATTTGCCGGTTATGGCTATATTGATGAAGATGTTGTCAATTATGGACCACTGATGATGAATTGGATTATAATTAAGAAAACTGTTAATACGACTATAGATAGTTGGGGTAATTGGATCAGATCTTATAGATATCCGCCTATTACAGGCTCTGGTAATTGTAATGTAAGTTTAACTGTTAATATGCATATAATTATAATATCAGAGTTAAGCAAGTTTTTTATTGGGGGGGGGGCGGAAGTCTAATGGTAAGGTTAAATATGAAAAAAATTAATTTAGCAGATCATTACCTACATACCAACACTTGACTATGCTATGATACCACACAGTGTGCACACAGTGTGCACACACACACACACACACACACACACACTCACACACACTCACACAAAGACACACACACCCATACCAAGCCATATATATATATAATATTTTTATTTTATTATTATTTGTAATGTATAGGGTGATTCTGGTGGACCAGTGGTCCAGTATGTCGGGGATCGGGCCGTACTAATTGGTATAACCTCGGCCAGTTCGGTTAATGTTAGTTGTCTGGCATACAAATCAAATGATGTAATGGTTTTTATAAGAGTTTCCCGATTTATCGATTGGATTGTCGATACTATTGAAAATAATTAGATATTATTTTCTATACTCTATAATAGTTACTATTAAATAAAAAAAGTGGTAGTTTTGTTATTTTATTCATTTAGATACAGTAGAGTAATATTAAATAATTATTATATTACTAATATTATATTAAATGAAATCTAACTTATATTAAAAAAATATTATATATCTATGTATTATATATCATTTGAATAATTTAAAATTACATATTTGTTAATAATTTAAATAAACATTTTTTTGGTAATATTCTCAAATTGCAATCCGTATAAAGTAAAAATTGTTATTTAAGATTAAAATATTTTCATTATTATTAGTAGAATAAAAACTAAAATAAATTTACAGTTTTACTGTAAAAATTTCATTCATAAAAAATATATAACAATTATGTTTATTAGTTTAATACTAATAGTATCGGTAGTAGTAGTGAATGGTTTGCACTCACATATCAAACAATACCCGAACGTAACGCTCGACACGTGTGGTATCGGCAGACAGTCATTGTTGACGACTACCGGTCAGTGTTTAAAGTGGTCATCCAATGAGACAACTAGTAGTGTACAAAACGGACGGTTAGCTAAACCGGGAGAGTGGCCGTGGATTGCATATGTTTTTACTCAAAAATATTTTTTGTTATTTATACCAATTAGAAGGTAATTATATATATATATATATTAATATGTTTAACACTTGCCCTATAATATCAATTGCAAATCAATAATCATAATTTTTTGTAAAAAAATATGACAAATTGTTTTTAAGTGTAAATTTTATTTTATATTAATAATTAAAATACAAATACAAGAGTTTTTAGTAGATTTCAGAGTAATATTTTGTCTTATTTTTATTAACAAATAGTATTAAAATTATTATAAAATATTTATATATATACAGTATATATATAATTTTTATTTATAAATTTTAGTACTTATTGTACTGGTATTGTACTAAACAGATATTGGATACTAACTGCTGGACACTGTATTAGGTAATTATAGTATTATATTATTAATAGGTTATAGATTGATATAATATTTATTTTATCATAATATCATATATTATTATTATTATTATTAACATAATTTTAAGGTATTGAAGAATGTATTATGTAATATGTTTACAAAATAATTGCAATGTATTTATGATAATTGTTTATTAATTAAAAAAAAATAAAAGACCCGGTTATAGGATAACTGTGCGCCCAGTTATCGACCGGAGTCTTACAGGTGATTATATATACGATGTGGACATAAGTATTGCTCACTATAAGTACAATACAGATGATGGCAAAACAGACCTGAAATACGACATTGGATTATTGAAATTGATTTCACCGCTACCCATACCAACCACCACAACAACATCAAGTGGTGGTCAATCTTATCTGTCGCCTGCAGTAAACGGTATTTGTTTGCCCGACAAAGATATTGTTAACACTGAGGATGAGTTGGCATTGAATGCCGGTTTTGGTTATATTGATGAAAGTGTTGTCAATTATGGACCACTGATGATGGAATGGATAATAATTAAGAAAGCATTTAATACTACACGTGATGGTTGGGATAATTGGATCAGATCTTATAGATATCCGCATTATACAGGCTCTGGTATTTGTAAGGCAAGTTAAACACTGTTTAATATGCATACATTTATAATAACAGGGTTAAGCAATTTATTTTTGGACCGGAGGGGTGGATATGTCCAGTGTCAATATTAAGTAAACAGTTCATACCCTAACCCAACACTTGACTATGATATGATAACACACACACACACACACACACACACACACACACACACACACACACACACACACACACACACACATACACACACACATACACATAGACATACACATAGACATACACATAGACATACACATAGACATACACATAGACATACACATAGACATACACATAGACATACACATAGACATACACATAGACATACACATAGACATACACATAGACATACACATAGACATACACATAGACATGCACATAGACATACACATAGACATACACATAGACATACACATAGACATACACATAGACATACACATAGACATACACATAGACATACACATAGACATACACATAGACATACACATAGACATACACATAGACATACACATAGTCATACACATAGACATACACATAGACATACACATAGACATACACATAGACATACACATAGACACACACCCATAGCAACCCTGATATATATATATAATATTTTTATTTTATTATTATTTGTAATGTATAGGGTGATTCTGGTGGACCAGTGGTCCAGTATGTCGGGGATCGGGCGGTATTAATTGGTATAACCTCGGCCAGTTCGCTTAATGTTCATTGTCTGGCATACAATCCAAATGCTATAATGATTTTTATAAGAGTTTCACGATTTGTCGATTGGATTGTCGATACTATTGAGAATAATTAGATATTTTTTCTATACTCTATAATAGTTACTATTAAATAAAAAGTAGTAATAGTTTTGTTATTTTATTCAATTAGATACAGTAGACTAATATTAAATAATTATTAAAATTAATTGTAATAATGTTAAAAATTTTTATACATATAAGTAGTACAGGGTCCCTTTATCCTAATTTTGGGGCAATAAAATTGCTTTCCCCCATATAATTTTTGTAGTTATTTAAATATCTAAAAATATAAAGTTTAGAAAATATATACCGAAGGTATCTATGTCTATAAAAACAATCATTATTCTTACATTCTTTGGCCTATAATAGGTCGTACTTATCAATTGATTTAACTGAAGTTCCTTAAGCATTGCTATGGTTTCATCAATTGATTTAACTGAAGTTCTTTAAGCGCTGCTATGGTTTCATCAATTGATTTAACTGAAGTTCTTTAAGCGCTGCTATGGTTTCATCAATTGATTTAACTGAAGTTCTTTAAGTGCGGCTACAATGAGCTCTAATTTTTCATAACATATCCTCAAATTTTTCATAACATATCCTTTATTAATTTGATATAATAGCCATGGGTTTTTACTTACCTTTTTTGTAACATCTTATATATATATTTATTAAAATTAGTTACTTTTATAGACAATTTTAAAATTTTATTTTACAAAAATAAAAATTTTATTTTTTATTTTAATACAATAACATCTGATTCTTTTAATTTACTATTCAATAATTTAGTATGTTTATCATTCATTTTGTTTTTATAATTATCAAAATCTTTTTCTATTTTATCTATTAGATTAACCAAAATATTATAATTTTTATCCTTTTTACTATTTTCTAATGCTAGATTTTCTTCTTTTAATGCTTTAATTTCATTGCGATAGGCTTCTTCTTTTATTTGAAACAAGATTTTAGCCGCTTCCAACTCAGATTTTAAGTCATTTATTTCCATTCGTCTGGATTCCAATTCATCAACTATAGAAGTAATGTATTCCTGAGACACTGATTAAAATGATAAAAATAAATAAAAAAGAAATTAATTACTTAATTAAAAAAATCATTAAAGTAAAATTTAATATAATAATTTTAAATAATATTATATATAATAATTATTTAAAAATTAATGATTTATCTTATGTTTTTAATTATGGGTATGAAAGTACACAAAAACTTAGAATTACTGCTTCAAAATCTTATCAATATATAAAATTATATGAAAATGATACAGAAAAATTAATAGAATTTATTAGTAAACAATTTACTAATAATATATACAATTCAATTGATTTTAAGTATGATAAAAGTCTAAAATATGAGTACTATGCATTAACAGCAATAAAAAATAAAACTAAACTTAATATTAAATTAGGATCAAGTGTTTTGAATCCAAACATACCTTTTTTATCAACTACAGTTGATGGGTATATAATAAAAAATAATAAAATCATTTCAATAATAGAATTAAAAATACCTGAAAAATTGTATATTTATAGTATAAAACAATTAGAAAAGTTATATCCAACATATTTTACTGACAGAGGAATTTATAAATGTAATAATGTTTATTGTATATCCACTAATACCAGATATTATTATCAAGTACAAATATCGTTAATATTATTAAATTTAAAATCAGCGCTATTAATATTTTTTTCTATTTATGATAATTCATATATTCAAATAAATATAACACGAAATGATAATTTTATATTTAGAATTTTATTAAAATTAAATAAAATATATAATACATATGTTACAAATTATTTATTACAAAAGCTATTGATACAAAGATAAAAGTTCATGACCAAAGGGAAGAGTCATATCTTTTGATGTTAAAATTACACGTTTATCACTTGTTGGTTTTAAAATTTTTTTAAAATATCGTGTATAAATTTTAAATGCATCTTTGTCTTCATTAACTATTTTAAACTGTCTTTGTAGTACAGATGTTTGATTATTTTCTGTTTGTGTTATTTGATTATTAGCTAATTTTTTTAGACAATCAAAATCAACGTTAGATGTTATTTGAGATTGCATAATACCTTTCAATTTTAAATGAGTGTAAATGTTATTATTTTTAATGTATCTATACCCATAACTTTTAGGTCCAATTGATACAAATTCAACACATTTACCATTAATTTCATCAGTTAAATTTCCTAAATAATTACCAGTTTCAATAATAGGATCATTCAAATTTCTTAAATATATTACAGAATCAGTATCATAATATAAAACACTATGTTTTCCATTAATACGATTTTTTTCTATTCTGTCCAATAAATTATACAATTCAATTCGTGCGTAGGCAGTAACAAATGCGGCAATAGTAACATTATAAGTACGAGCTTTGGAGTCTTTATCATCTAAATATTGCCAACTTAACACCGTTACATCATCGCTTGCTTTAAAATGTCCAACAATTTCTTTATCTTCGCTAAACCAAAGTTTTTCATATTCATCATATGAAGATATTATTTGTGTTTGTGGTTGATTAGGTTTTTGAGCAAATTTCCCCCAAAAACTATTAAGCATTAGTTTAGCAATAAATCTTAAAGATTCATTTTTTTCAATTTTGTCATAGTCCAAGTCAATGTCTTCTATTACTTTGTAATCATTTATATAATTTACTTTAAACATTTCCAATAAAATGTCATCTGATGTAATAGTTGCGTTTTCATTTTTGTATTTTATAATATTTTCAGTAAAGTCAGGCCACCCGCTAGCTTCTTGCTTAATTTTCAACCACATATTTATATAATGTTTAAAAAGATCACTTGAAGTCGTTTCATATTGATGTATTTCGAAAATTTGTTCAATAACATAACCATGTTTAATAGCAAGTTGTAATTCAATTGAAGTCCAAGTACCAATTATTGATTTATTTTCACAAAAACATTCACAATGTAAATTATTTTCAGCACATGTTTCACACAATGTAAATAAAAGTTTATTATTTATTCTACTTGGTAAAACAGGTAAGTAGAGACTAGCGTTTGGCTTAATTCTACATTTTACTATTCCGAATATATCTTTAATAGATGGAAAATTACATGTAATCACTTTTGGATGACCAATTGGGTATTGTTTATATTTTAAAACATACGGGTATAATGAACAAAAGTCCAAATATTTTATTTCTTCATCATCTTTACATACATAATTATATCTTAAGTTGTTAGTACGTCCACCAAAAAAAGCATCTTTAATATCAATTGATTTTTTATAGTTGTTGCTATTAGATACTTCATCACTAGTAGATCTATAATACACTTTTGCATAATCAAAATCATGCTCCCATTCGAATTCAACTTTAAATCCTCTTCTTTCATAATAGGCAATTTTTTGTTGACACTGATTATATTTTTCATTAAACGTACCACCAATGTTTGGCTTAAACTCATCGCGATTTAAAGGAAAACAAGTTACACAACCATGATAATAACATCCAAAAAATTCGTATACGATCTTTTTTTCTCTGTCTAAACCATCAGGCCAATATCTTGATCCCAATCTAGCATTACGTTCAATGTTTAATCCGTTTTTTAAAATTTTATCTTTTTTAATAATGTCTTCTATCCAAATTCTTTCTTTGTCTGATTTGTTTTTATAATTATCATATCCACAAACTGGTGTATTTGCAATTTGTTTTTCTTGAAGGAAGTTTGCTTTAAAACATTCCATTGCAACAGATGCTAATGTAAAATTACGTGTTATTGGATCTAATCCAGTAATCTCTTTAAATGTTTGACGATATTTTTGAATTGCTTGTAGAAGAATTTCACAATCATTCATACAGTATGTAATCAACTCTTGTTTAAAGCTCCAAATACCAATAAATGAGTCATACCAATCATTAAATTCAATTTGTTGTTCTTTTGTCATATAATCACATCCAAAATATTTTTTATCTGGTAATTTATCTAACACTGAATTATAATTTTTTGGTTTATTATATTTGTGTGGAAATGTACCCTTTTTTAATTCAACATTTAATCCAAATGCTTTTGGTAGTTTAGCTAAAGACGTTTGAAAAAAATTTAAAGAGTCTAATATTTTCACATTTTCAAGTTCAATTTTTAATAGTTTTCTACCACGTGGAGTTATTTCAATATCTTTATACCCCATATTAATCATTTCTTTGAGAATAAATTGTCCATCATAAGCTCTCATATTATGAGCAAATACGTAGATTTTCGATTTTCTTCTGGAAGCAATATTAGATAAAGAGCTCAAGTATTTAATAAAACTATTCACGCAGCGTTCACCAAAGAAATATCCATCTCTTGCATGCCCATCGTCAGATTCAGTTTTATAGCACAGCAAATTTGCTATATGTTTACCATTGGTATCGGTATAAGATTCAATATCAAAACAACAAATATATTTTACAATTAAATCTTCTTCAATCAATTTATTTTTATTTTTTGGAGAGATGTAACAATTATGAGGTATATAATCTACTTCACCACAATATTTACACTTGTATTTATCACAAACATGTTTTTTATCATATTTAATGTTATAAACAAATTCACAAATAATACACTTTTTAATAACTTGACATCTAGTATAATTATGATTATTATAGCACTGTTGATTATTGAAAGTTATATTACATTTTTCACAAGTTATTAAAATGTTTTCATCATTACAAATTTCACTTAACTGACATTTATAACAGAGCTTTGGACATGTATGTAAATTTTTATTATTATATGGTTTGTGACAATTTTCACAAAAATACACCATACCATAAAAACCTACAATATTCACAATTGCATTATAATGATTATTATGATGTTGAATATAAATTTTTTTGGGTTTAGTTGGGCCACGAAACATAAAGTTTGTATAACTAAATCCAATAATAACAACTATTTGATAATCTGGAAATAAATCTTGTAATTTTTTCCATTCATCAATAGTGAACGGTGTTGTTGGTAGCACGTTAAGTTGACGAAGAATAGGAACTGATTGAAGAAATTGTTCTCTTCTTTTGTTTTGTATTATCTTTTTGTATTGAGCGTCACTTTTTTTATAATCATGAGTAGCTTTAGACACTATAAATGCACGTATTCCACAAGTTTGATCATCTGAATTATAAGGGTCAGATTTTATTTCAACAATAGAAGTTTTAGATTTTATAATTTGATTTGATGTTTTAATAGCTTTATTAGCACCACCACTTTTTGGTAATATATATCTAATTGATAATTGGATGTTATTTTCCAGCCAATTTTTGTAACTTTGCAAAATGCTACAAATTTGACCAAATAAAATTTTGACAGTATAGTCTTCTCGACGTTTGAAATTTGAAAATATTTCTGTCTCGCCTTGTTCCGGATTGCTGTCTTGATATAAAGACAACGTAAATGGGTTGTTTGGTGGAATATCTTTCAATCTATCATTAATTAATTTATCAATGCATTGTTCCATATCTTCATTCAAAACTTCCAGGTCTTCATTATTTTTAATAATTAAATTAAATGCGACATTTTTAATATATTCATTCAATGATTCATAAATATGATTTTCCTCATGTAGTATCTGCAAATCACAAGATGACGAGCGAATTCGTTTACTTTCAGACGCCATTTTAAAACAATATTTTAATTGCTGTTTATATAACCTAATTCGTAATTAAAATAAAACAAACGTTAAATATACGAAATTATTTATAAAAGATATTAAATATATTTTTAATTTGTGTTATGAAGTTTAAAGATAAAATGTGTTTTAATGAGTTTAAATATTCACAAAAAGATTATAGAACATTTAAATTTGATATTATTAAAAAAAGTGATATTTATTATAAATATTTAAATAATTATGAAAGACAAATTGATTTTGTAATTTATGTGGATTATGAAAAAGATTACCATCCTTTAATAATAAACCCTCAGTATCGTGAAATTTTTGATGAAATTATTAGTATAATGTTTCAATCATTTAAAGATAACTATACTTTTACTATGAATATATTTAATAGTAAATCTGATTACGATGTATATTTTCGAAAAAAACTGATAAAAGAATATGACATAAATTACATTATGGATAAATTAGAAGACATTTGGGTTAACAATCATATACCATACAAGCGAGTTGACGATGTAATTTCAATAAGAATAAATGTCATAGCAACAGAAAATGACTAATGGATTTTAAACATGTTCAATTCAAACATCCAACTAATTCTCTGATTGTTGGAATGACTGGTAGTGGTAAAACAATATTAACAAGAAATTTATTAAAATATTATAATATTTTATGGAATATTAATAAATTAAATATAAATATATTATGGTGTTATGGTCAATGGCATAATTTAATTGATGTCAGCATTGTTGATAATATTAAGATGAAATATATAAGTGGAATACCTAATGAAAATACTATTAAAGAATTTAAACCAGATATAATTGTAATTGATGATTTATTAAATGAAATGAATAAAGATAAAAATTTTGAAAATTTGTTTATTAAAAAATCACATCATTTAAATATAAGTGTTATTTTTTTATCACAAAATCTGTTTTATCAAGCAAAATCAATGCGAACAATAAGTTTAAATTGTCATTATATAATATTAATGAAAAACCCAAGAGATAAATCTCAAATAATGTCATTGGCTAGACAAATATTTCCAAATAATACTCAATATTTGATAAATGCTTATAATGATGCAACAAAGTATGCTTATGGTTATATAAGGATAGATTTAACTCCTGATACACCTGATAATTTACGTTTACTTTCTGGTATAATTCCAGATGGTAAACAAACACCTGTAGCTTATGTCGAATCAACTTAAAAATTGTATTGAAAAACTAAAATTAATAGTAAGTATTAAAGATACATATTTACAAAAAAAATTATTAAAGTATTTATCAAACAACGAACTATATGATGTTTTAAGAGAAATAGCTATTAATTACTATAATGGAAATATAAAATTATCAAAAGATCAAAAAAATAAATTAATGAAGTATAATAAAATAATTAAAAAATTGACAAAAACTCAAAAAAATTTGTCAATAAAAAAGAAATTAATAGTTCAATCAGGTGGTTGGTTACCTATTTTATTACCAGTTATATCTGCTTTAGCACCTTTAGTAGGAAAAGCATTATCTAATTTATAATGTATAATAAAATGTTACTAATTCCTATTGATAATATGAGAAATCAGTTAGAAACTATATTAAAAATTTGTTTAAAATTAGCGAAAAATAATGTATATGACGAAAGTTTAAAATTAACTAACGACGAATTTATTGTTGATAATATTATAGAATTATTTAACAATAATAGTGATAGTATTTCAAAAGAGTTTATTAGTATTTTAAAAAATTGTAACATTACATCTGATTTAGTATCAAATATTCAAATAAAAAAAGAATTAGATAATCAAATGTATTCAACTTTAAATCCAATAAAAATAAAACAAAATATATCAGAAAAAAATGGAACTAGAAAACGTATTAAATGGGATTTATTACGATAAATCTAATCCAGGAGGGTTTTCTTCAATTGATAAATTATATAACGAATCTAAAAAACTATTACCAAACATTACTAGAAGACAAGTTAAAAACTGGTTATTAGGTCAATTTACGTACACTTTACATAGACCAATACGTAGAAACTTTAAAAGAAATCCAATAATTGTACCACAAATTGATTATCAATGGGAAGCAGATTTAATAGATATGCAGGTAATAGGTAAAACTGGTAAACGAATAAATAAAAAATATAATTATATATTAACTGTAATAGATAGTTTATCTAAATATGCATGGGGTATACGATTAAAATCTAAAACTAGCTCTGAATTAGTTAATGCATTTAAAACAATTTTAAAAGATAAACGTAAACCACATTATTTACGAACTGATAAAGGTACTGAATTTTTAAACAAACCTTTTAATAATTTACTAAAAAGAGAAAATATTAAACATTTTACAAGTAAAGATAAAAAAATAAAATGTGCAATTGTTGAAAGGTTTAATAAAACATTAAAAGAAAAAATGCAGAGATATTTTACATCAAAAGGTAATAAAATATGGTACGATTCTCTAAATGATATAATATCATCTTATAATAATTCTTATCATAGAACAATTAAAATGACTCCAATAGAAGCAAGTAGTGAAAATTCTGAAAATTTATTTAAAAAAATCTATAAAATGAGTTATTATGATTTAATTAAAAAACAAAATAAAAACAAAATAAATATTAATGATTCTGTTAGAAAAGTGGAAGAAAAAAACATTTGAGAAAGGATATTATCCTAACTGGACAGATCATATTTTTAAAGTAAGTGATACAAGAAACGAATCAGAAAAGAACACTTATATTATCAATACAGAAAATAACGAGATATTAAATCAAAAATTTTATCCAGAAGAATTACTAAAAGTAAATGAAAATCAATATCGTATTGAAAAAATTTTAAGAAAAAAACAGTAAATGGTGTTAAAAAATGTTATGTTAAGTGGTTAAATTTTCCATCTACATATAATAGTTGGATTAACGAGATAGAGATACATAATCTATAAAAGATTGTATTTTTATTTAAAAAAACAAATGTCATATTATATTAATATACATCATAAAATTAACAATTCTCAAAAACTTGAAGATTTTGAAAGTAACATACAAGATTTTAATCTTGAAGGTGATTGGGAAATTGCATTATCAGAAGTAACTTTTAATAAATCATTCTTAACATTACCATTAGATCAGAAAATTGAATTTTTATATTTTGATGAACAAGCTAAAAATTATTTGTCTGTATATACAAGCAATGATTGTTTTATTCCTAAAGGCGATTATCATATAAAAGAATTAATTGAAAAAATTAATGATTCATTTAAAATTTTAGTTGAAACAAATGATGGTATAAGTTGTTTCAGAAACAATAATATAAAAATTATAACAACTTTACCTCAATTTCAATTACATGATAAAATTAAATATCTTACTGGTATAATATCTAATAATCAAAATTTCTTTGTTAGATTTGATGAATATTTAGGTGAAATGTTAGGATTTGAATATAATGAAATTACTAAAATTGCTAAATCACAGTTTTTAAAATATAAAAGACAAATAAATTTAGATACAACAAAGCCTTTGACACCTATTAAAGAACAATTTGTACTTGAAGC